GTCTGGGAGGAGGTTCGGGGAGGGATGGAGACTGGTGGGGAGTCGGGAAAGATGGCGTGGACGAGCGGAAGAGAGTCGGGAAATGCGAACCAGGTGAGCTCCCTCCCCGCTTTTTTTTTTTTTTTTTTTTCCCCCGGACATCTTGTCCCTGACAGCACAGTCCGGACAGTCCGGTGTCCGGTGTTGTCCGGTGTCCGGTGTTGTTCGGAACACCGGACAGTCCGGACTGGTCCAGACACAGGTCCGGGAAACAGTCCGGAATTGTCCGGTGTCCGGGTCCGCGGTTACCATGATATGTATGAAATTATGAATATTATAATATATACATTAAAATGATTAAATTATAATAATTCTATGTAATGATCTGCCAAAACACAGACTGAGAACACTGCTGATTTCTGGGGTTTGATGCTGGAATGTATACTGCAATAACCCGCTCAAATATGCCTATGTCGTCGGCCAAAGGGGCCACCCACGGCCACAGATCGACCTCAAGGCCCTGTGTCCGAATGTGGAAAACAGAGCCCCTGAAACAAGGCTTCAGAGGCCCTCCGCCCGACAGTTGACCGAAGTCAACTGTAACTTGAGATATTGAGGCTCACAAGTCAAAGTTTTCACAGAGCCAGGCCACCGATCTCAGACACACACACTCGGTTGTACGCAGGTATCCAGGCAGCATTTGGTCCAAGTGGAAGTCTGTAACTGTACGAGATCCAGGCCGTCAGCCGTGAGTCAATCTGAGCCTCTGTACGTGAGACACCAGAGGCTGGTCAATGGCGTCAATATTACTTATTGACCCAGCCCCTGGGGGTCAACATTCAGTCTTGCACTTGCTGCTTGACGCTGGCACGACGCTGGCACGACGCTGGCTTGACGCTGGCTTGACGCTGGCAGGACGCTGGCATAGTGCGACGACGACGCGAGACTGCTGCTTTGTGTCTGGCACCTTTCTGCTTCTGGGCGCCAGCTGTCTTCTCGGTTGTTGACGTGGCACTTGCCACACTGTTTTTGGCATTGCTGACATGGCGCATGCCACACCGTCTTCGACACAGATTGGGGATGCGACAAGGAGGGAGATCAGGAACAGTGGGATTGATTGAGTGAGAGAGAGGAAACCTACCTGTTGATGCGGTCGACATTGCACACTGCAGAGACGTCTTCATGGAAGATTTGTGCCTACGTGGCACTATGCTGTGATCAGATCTCGTCAGACTCATTTCCGGGATACTGTTTGCTGACGTGGACGTGGGGAGACGCCCAAAGAAGAAGTGGGGATTGAGGGAGATGTATCTACAAAGACATTGATGGATACTTTCTCTTCCACCCTCTAAGTCTATTCTCCCTCATATCTGCTTCGCCCTATGGTTACGAGACATTGTACTACAGTTCACATTCCATGATTATCGGAGACATTTATCAGCACTGAGACATCTTGTATTTCGACACTTGACGAGTTTCTCTCCTGACTGGGTTCATTACAATACCTTGCTGAGATTCCCGCATTCTGCTTTTGTCGGCCGGAGTGTGTATGTGACCCGCAAGGGTACTTGTTCGTTTGGAGGCCCCGCAGGGCCGGTACTTACCTCTGGCCGTGACTTTAAGGGTTGCACCGGGGAAAAACACTCAAGTAGCGGAGGTAGGCCTGCGACACTTAGAACAGTGGGAAAAAAACTCAATTAGCAAGTAGGCCGGGACCACTCAAGTGACGGGTACTTGAAGCCGAGCAGAAGAAGACAAAAAGTTGGCATTTTCAGAGGCCCAGTAGCAGTAGGCTAGAGGTAGGCAGGTACCAGTCCAAGTAGCTTGAGTCTAGGGCCTGTACGGACGATATCAGAGCCTACAATGATGTTTCCCTCCAAAAGGGAGGAGGTACCGGTTGCTTGGAGGCCGCGCGGCCTGG